TGGTTTCTTCTAGTGTCATCCATTTGCCTGCGAATCTCATGATTCCATTATTTTTTTCTGCTGAATAGTACTCCATTGTGTAGATGTACCACATTTTCTCTATCCACTCTTCAGGTGAGGGACATCTAGGTTGCTTCCACGTTCTGGCAATTACAAATAAAGCTGCTATGAACATAGTGGAACAGACATCTTTGTTGTATGAATGGGCATCTTTTGGATATATGCCTAAGAGTGGAGTTGCTGGGTCTTGTGGTAGGTTTATTCCCATTTTTCTGAGGAATCTCCACACTGATTTCCAAAGTGGCTGGACCAGTTGGCACTCCCACCAGCAATGGAGGAGTGTCCCCCTTTCACCACATCCTCTCCAGCATAAATTGTCATTGGTGTTTTTGATTTTAGCCATTCTGACAGGGGTGAGATGGTATCTGAGAGTTGTTTTGATTTGCATTTCCCGGATGGCTAAGGATGTTGAGCACTTTCTCAAGTGCCTCTCAGCCATTTTAGACTCCTCTATTGAAAACTCTCTATTTAGTTCTGCAGCCCACTTTTTAATAGGGTCCTTTGGTGTTTTGGAGACTTGCTTCTTGAGTTCTTTGTAAATTTTGGAGATCAACCCTCTGTCAGATGTGGGATTAGTGAATATTTTTTCCCATTCTGTGGGCTGCCTTTTTGTCTTGCTGACTGTGTCCTTTGCCTTACAGAAGCTTCTCAGTTTCAGTAGGTCCCATTTATTGATTGTTGATCTTACTGCCTGTGCTACTGGTGTTATGTTCAGGAAGCTGTCTCCTGTACCAATTCGTTCAAGGGTACCACCCACTTTCTCTTCTAAGAGGTTCAGTGTGGCTGGATTTATGTTGAGGTCTTTGATCCATTTGGACTTAAGTTTTGTGGATGGCGATAGACATGGATCGATCTGCATTCTTCTACATGCCAGTCTCCAATTATGCCAGCACCATTTGTTGAAGATGCTTTCTTTATTCCATTGTATATTTTTAGCTTCTTTGTCAAAGATCAGATGTTCGTACGTGTGTGGGTTATTCTATTTTTATCTTATTCACATAATTAGGTTCTTTTGAGGCCCCCTGTGATTTCTGAAGTCCTGTTTCCTGTGACATTTCTTCCCTCTCTCTGGTCTCAAACACTGAAGATCCTGGTGTATTTTCATACCCCCAAACGAGCCCACCCTGTGCCCCTACTTACTAACTTGGAGCTCACTCACTCACCTCTTGACTGCTAGTTCTCTGTCTCGCTATTTCTCTTATTGGGATGGGAAGTATAACTGGGAAGTCGAGCCCATGGGCAAGGCTCTCAGTTGGGAATGTGGGTTTGGACATAATAATGGCATGCTAGCAGCAGCCTGGGCCTCCCCTTCCCAAGTGTGGTGTGGAGGAGAGCTTGCCACCGGGACCCCATGTCTCCCATCTCATCCTTTGTCTTTTGCATGCTTGTCTATGAATATGTTGGGCATTTGCTTCTGGGAGTTGGCACAGCACCGGTCTTAAGTGGCTGGATCTGTGTGCGTAGGCTGATGCTGTGGTAGCAGATTCTCTTCTGCTCTAAAGACCTGGATCCCACTTCATCCATTTTGGTTTCTTTTAGATCTTGGTTTGAGCAGTGGAGCTGCTGTTTCATTGCATACACAGGCACATACACACACACACACACATATGTACAGATACATATAGACACACATATATACACAGACACAAAGACACACCCACACCCACACATATATACAGGCACACATATACACACAGACACACACACAGAGCGAGACAAACTTCAGTACCCCATGAATCTCCCTTTACATAGTGTAGTACAAGGTCAATGCTGGGCTCTTAAGAAACACTCACTCATTATTTTAAATGACTATACAATAGCCCCATAAAACTTTTAGGTATTTACTGTGGAACATTTCACTGCTCATTAGGATATGAACCTGGCACCCAAACAACTAATAATCTATCTTAATGGACAGAAGGACTGTGTTAAGAAGCCACCATTTCCTTATTAAGGAAATATTAAGTATGTGTGTGGGTGTGTGCATGTGTGCTTGAGAGAGACAGGAAGACAAGCAGAGAGACAAACAGCAGGGAAATGACAGAGAAGAAAACAAACAACTCTCGAAGCAGAAGAAGCTGTCTATCCAAGTTCAGACTTAGTGGGGATCTGGCCTGTTTGAGCTTAATCTCTGATTTTGCCACTGTACTGTTTTTTGTTTGTTTGTTTTTTTCTGAGTCCAAATACCCAATGAGAACCAACTGAAGAATGGAAGGTTTTATTTTGACTTATAGTTTAAGAATGAATACAACCTATCATGACAAAGAGGACATGGCAACAGAAGTCTCAGTTTCTCTAGAGAGACAGAACTGATCACATACACACACACACACACACACACACACACACACACACACACACACTAAGTCAACTCATATTAAAATATTTAAATATGGTGAATTATACATGAGAGGCCAAGTATCTGGTAATTGCTGGGTCCCCAAGGCCAGGTGCCTTAGCAATGATGTGGTTCCACAGTGGCTGTCTCATGCTGGAGAGGCTAATAATTTCTCCAATGGTTGCTCAATCCACAAGACTGGATGCTTTGACAGTCACAATCTTGCTCTGAAAACTGGGAGGTACCCGGAGCACCATTGTTCCTTAACTTTATGATGGAAACCTGGAAACACTGGCTCTGGTATCTGTGAAGCAGCAGCAGCAGCAAGGCCAAGTGAGCAACAGTCAAGCAATTCTCACTCTGCAACACCATTTTTATCTGGACCACTACCAGAAGGGGCAATCACCTGGGGTGGGTTGTCCTGAATCAACACCATTTTTATCTGGACCACTACCAGAAGGGGCAATCACCTGGGGTGGGTTGTCCTGAATCAATTAAGACAATCAGGTGAGTTCTTCAGTTGAGGCTTTTTACTCAGTAATTCTAACTTATAACAAGTTAACATTAAAACCAATTAATAATGAGACACTCACTCATCTTGTGTCCACAGTTATGGAGCATAAAGGAAGGGAAGTGTGGCCTAGCTTTAAAACCGTAAGAATTGTCCCCTAGTGACTACTTCTTCCGGTGAGATTCCACTTTCAAAAGATGCCACAGTTTTCGAAACAGTGCCACTAGCTGGGGAAGTCATGTTCTAATATGTGAGTTGGTATGGGACATTTCATGTTCACGTATCAGTCACAGGTTATCCTTGCTGGAATTGGCTTCTCTTTGACTGTTTCTTCCCTACAACATGGCCATATAATTAATAGTTCTTACTTCATGAAATTTATTTTGGTCAAGATTAAATGAATTAAAGCATATAAAACCCTTCCAGGGTGCCTCTTCCTAGCTCTTAGTATTATTACTATCACTTCTTGGTGTTGCCTTAAATAATGAGTTAGTTGTGTTATCAGTGAAGGGGAATTTAGGATTCCTGGGAAATTTGCATCGTGAGTGGAGAAGTGGTTCAGTGCAGCCATATATGGGAAGGGTAAAGGGCTGAGTGTGGCATGGGCCAGAACAAAACCGGAGAGGAATTGGGCCAGGCCTCAGCAAGTCAGCATGACCAGTACAGGGAGGAGCTGTTTACACAGCTTCTGGATTCCAAAGCTATGGGTGGATGAAGCAGCTGGGCAGAGACAGGAAGTGACACTGTTGACAAAGTTAGAACATTCCTAGCATTTGTGAAACTTGGGCGAGGGAGGAATCTCCAGTTAACAGATGACAGAGATAAACTGGAACCATTAAGAATATATGAAAATGTCTTCACGAAGAAAAGGACCAAGAAGGGATTCAATGTGACAGGACTCAAACTGAGTCTCTTGGGGCTTGGGTTAGTTGTCTAAGGCACCTTATCTAATAAATGAGAACACTAGATTTTGGGCCTAAGAAAGGCTCGGATGCGAGGCCCAGTGTAAGCTCCTGAGCCTGACTAGAGTTTGGCGACCTGTCTCTAACCTATAACCTCCACATGTGGGTGACTCAGCCAGATGTGATGTAAGATTGCCCTTCCTCCCCCCGCCCCCATCTACCTGCAGGGAGGACCCTGCAGCTATCGAAGCAGACTTTTCTTCTGTGAGATGGGTTTGCTAACCACATAAAGCTATCATAGGGTATTAGTTTGTCCAGTGATGAAGTGGGGAAAGCCCAAGCAATGGAGGTGTCTTAGTCAGCATATCTCATGATCATACGACCTCCAGGCCAGATCTCATTTCTAAGGCTCTTCAGACATAGTCTCAACCTTTCATATCCCACTTCCCTCTACAGCTGGAGGCACGGGTACCACAGCTTTTCAAGTTTGTGTCAAAGTCAAAGGGAAGATGCAATGTAAAAGGTCAGCTAGGACCAAGGCTCTCAGATCATCCTCTGCTCTCTACAAGCTAGGCACGCGACTAGCTTTAAGACAATCTTGTTTGTTGAATTATACCCGCCAACAACATATGGCCTGCATCTGTACCCAATAGCCTTTCTCCTTCCTGCTGTCATGTGGCTTCAGTCTTTCCTCTGTGTTGCTCAGTGACTCAATCTCTGCCTTGTGGACTATGGGGTTGCCTATGGTTTCCCACTTCTATAGAGCTGGGGCTGAGTAGGGGTAAGGAATATCAGTGGCTGGTTAAGATGCAAGTTCTATTTTATTCATTGTGGCTTTTTAAAAGGCTTTTATCTAAGAGGTGGAGCTTCTTCTACACTCGAGTCCATAAGTTTCCAAGCTCCACCAACTATTAGCTTTCATTCCAGAGTCTAATAAAAGTCAAAATCACCCTCCAAGATTCATTGGTACCAAGACAGAAGCAAGCACAGGAAAGGCGTTTAACACAGATGCTTGGGGGAACTTGTGTAAGGTTCCAAAGAATAAAGTTAAAGTGGTGTTTCCATGTGAAGGTAGAGCCCTGCAGGAAACCAGAACAATTTCTCCAAAACCCGGTGGATGAGCCCCACCGAGAATGCTGACTGCCATGTGTGTTATGCTGCAGGGTGCAAAATAAACACTGCACACAAAGACCACTAATTGCTTCATTTATTCTTCCATTTAGTCAGGGAAACATCAGGGCTTATTCAGTTTTGGAATGGAAAATTACACGTTGGGGAGAAAAGAGCCACGTTTGGGGGATGACAGCGCAGTTCTGGTTCAGCTCACTCATATTTGCTTTACCCCTCAAAGGAAGAATATGTATACATATAAAGACAAAACTTGAAGAAGCACAATGGAGAGGATACCGAAGTCATACCTTTCCCTTTCTGTTGTCCAATGTACATTTGCAGATTAAATGGAAATGCGAGGGACAAGGGGCACATCTTGGAGACCAGGGGACTTGGAGCCCAGTTTCTCCTGTTTGAGGATGCAAACTCTTTTTAAGGTTGACAGCATCCTAGGGCTTCTTATTTAAGGCTAACTTACTCTATAAATGCAAGGTAGCGTCACCCAGCCTGCTTGGGTTGGATAGTTAAGGTAAATTCTGTAAAGTCTGCCGAGTTAGAGACTCCAGGAGTCCAGTTCTGAAAAATACCCCAACACAAGACCATCACAAATATACCCAAGAAAGAGACTCAGTGACATGTGACTGAAAAATATACATATACTTAAGCAGGGAATGTTCTTAAAACCTCATATGTAACTTGAGGAACCGAGGGTTGGGGAACTATTATTTATTTATTTATTTATTTATTTATTTATTTATTTATTTATTCCTGCAAAGTCAAATGGCAGAGTTAATGGCAGGAAGTCAAGCTCCCCAGCTTTTAACTGTTGTCAGAATACCACATAAATGTACACTCCCATTATTGTTAATGTTGCTGTTTTTTTTTTAACCAAGATTCCCAAATTGAAAATTTTACCTATTTAAGTGAAAAAAAAATCTGGAGAAAACAAAACAACTTGCGTGGAACATTTCTATTAATTCTTAGGACTTTTATGCCAAGATAGCGTTAAAAATCTACCATCCAGATCAAAATCGGGAAACTGCGTATCTATGAACACACAATGGTAATCATACACAGAGAAAGGCATGGAAGACAGCACCACACAGAAGGATCAGAAAAGTCAATTAGAAAATAACTTGGGTCACATTGATGACTACTTGACTGGTCTATACTGCTCAGTGCTTTCAAGTAACACAGAAAATAACACAATACTGAGATACCAGGGAGATTAGTGCCAGAGGTGCTGTCGGAACCCATCAGAAGCAGGTGCAGATTGACACATAGCATCCACTATCACCTGAACTAAGCCTGCATGACACTGTGTCCAGCCCCACATGGCTCTGGCGATAGGTCACTGCCAAATGCATGTCACCTCAAAAACTGGCTACCTTTTTTTTGAAAAAAAAATTAACGATGACACATGTGAATCAGAGAGGGGAGGCCTGAGGTGGCAAATGTTTCAAGTGGCTGACAGAGGCTGCACATTCTGAACTCTGGACAAAGTGACTGGGATCTTGGTGTCCCCTGGGCCTGGAACTTTAGTGACAGGCTGGGTATGGGCTTTGATGTCTGCGATTCGCTCTTTAAACTTCTGTTGAAGGAATTTTTCTTCTTTGGAATAGCTCTTGGCAAACACGGACATCAGTAGGCACCCTGCCATGGATGTTCCCCCAATGCAGAAGAGCACAGCCCCCGCTAGCTTGCATGTGTCCAGAGCGCCATTGAACTGCACAGCATGTGAGTCGACCACCATGAAATCAGCTTCACCAAAAGCTTCAATTTTGGGGGGCACAAGAAAGCCCACTGCCAGGACAGTTAGTCCGAAAATCACAAACACAGTGCCTGAGATGAGTCCGACCTACAGAGAGAGAGGACAGAAGAAGGAGAGGGTGAATAACTGCCCCTATCTGTTTTCATTCGTCATCAAGGCCACTGCCCATTTCTTCAGAGTTGGGGCTATTCCCAGCTACTCTCAATCTGCATGAAAAACAGACTTAATTGCGTATCTCAAGTGGAAGGTGAGAGGGAATGCCAACAAGAAAGAACAACCCCAAATCTTGATTGCCCTCTACTTGTACAAACTGAAGGAACTTGCTTTGGTTCACTTGGTGTTGGGGAAGAGAGAAACTGCCCTGATTCCCAGAGCTGGCCTGACTCTGTCCCTTGAAAACCTTGATGTCACCAGAGGCTGCCATCATAGTATGATATGCCAAGCACAACACATCTCATAGAGCGTCAACTCAGACACACTCAACCTGTGACCATGATGGAAGAAGGCAAGACCAAGTCACTTCATAGTTCTGTCATAGCTATTACAAAACAGGGTCACCATATAGATTGTTTCTCGAAACCCATAGGCCTATCTGTTGTTACTTTTTCCACCGTGACTGTCCTTTCACTGGCATCTGCCTTCCTTTCAGACAAGCTTTATCAGAGAACTGTCTAGACAAAACAGAGTGTCTGTTGCATCCATGGTCTCCTCCCGGGATCCCCTAACCGAAGCTCCACCGTATAACTCATTCTTTCCCACTCCCTCCTTCTGTGTCCCTGTGGTGTATTATCTTCACTGCAATGGGCAGCAAACCCAGCATGCTCAGCTGACAGATGTGGTCCTAATACTTGGGGTCTGAGGACACTGACAGTCTTCATCAATGCGGATGCCCTTCTAAAGCAAGCAGAGAAGGATCCATAGGCAGCAGGCAAAGATGTGGAGCCTCCAGAAGGGCAGTCACTGCCTAAAAACAGACCCATCACAAAGAGAGGGCCTGGCAGCCATATAGATGACCCCGCGCTCTGTTTCTTTTCATGTGTAGATGAGTGCAATATGTGCAGATGCCAACGTGTTAGGGCAACCGATGGAAGATACTTTCTTAAGTGCAGCAGTTGTTGTTAGGTTCTCACTTCAGTAACCAAATGCCTGGCCAAAGAAGCTTAAGTGAGGAAGGGCTTGTTTGGGCTTCAGGAGATAGTGTCCACCATGGTGGAGAAGGCGCGTCTGGAGTAACTCCGTGGCTGTGAAAGCACAAGGATGATTCTTGCTCACATCCCATCAGGTCAGGAAATCGGCAAGGGGACTACAGGTGGTTAGTGGGTGTGACAGCTAATCTTGGTTGTCAACAAGACTGCATCTGGAATCAGCTAAAACTCAAGCAGCTGAACAAGCCTGTGGGGGATTTTCTTGATTGGATGGATGGAGGATTTAAGGTGGGAAGACCCACCCTAAATCTGGTCCACACCTTCTGGTGTCAGCCCACATAAAAGGGTGTGGAAGAAGGAAGCTTCTCCTTTGTTGCCTGCTTGTTCTTGGCATCACTGACAAATTTCCCCATCCTCCTGCTGAGGCATTCATTCGCTGTTTTAAAATCCATTTACTTGGGATTCCAATGTAGACTGAAGACCAGCAGCTCTCTGGGAATCCTTTGGGAACTTCAGCACCAGATTGAGACTGCTGAGACATAGAACTTTGTGGACTGAATAACGACCAAATCCTTAGCTTTTAGGTCAGGAGACAGTCATGGCTGGACTACACTAATCGTAGCCTGTAATGCTCCCTCACGTATCTATATGTGTATATATTTTATATCTACATTATTTATAAATCTACATATTCATTCTCTCAGTTCTGTTCCTTTAGAGAACCCTGGCTGATACAGTTGACATTCTCCTCTTTCCTTTACATCATTCTAGGACCCCAGTTCATGGGATTGTGCTTTCCATATTCAGGGAGGAGTTGCCATCAGCTTGTCTTCTGTGGAATTATCCTCACAGGTATTCTAATGATGATTCCCTAGTGTCCTATGAGTTTCTTAAGGCAACCAAATTGACAATGAAAACTAACCAGCAAAGAGCAGTGAGGCAAAATGATGTTCCACATGGTGATTAGAGCCCAAGACGGGTAGGTAGCCTCACCTTGGGCTCTCATCCTGAAACTTGTACTGGAATCATAGAAGCAAAGTCACTTGAATGTTTGTATCACCGTTTTCCCTATTTATAGAATGGTAAGTGACTATAGTACCCACATTATGATACCGTGAAGCTTAAATATGACTATGCTCAAAAGCACTTAACTTAGTGTTTGGTAAGTAACAAACTCTGATGAGTAGTTGTTTGTGGAGAACAAACTTTGATTAACAGTATTAAAACAGTTACTCATCATTTGGAATAAGAATCATTTAACAGAACTATCCATTTTTTAAACATCCTAATTGTTTTAAGTTAGAGTAACAAGGTTGGAAAAATAAACAAATACATAATCCTACCTAATCTTGGAAATTGAAGTGTGCGTATTTATTTGTAACTTTTAGAGGTGATGCATCAATTGAGGGGCCTTGGCTAATAGAAGGGAACACCCTCATCAACCGGGGTCCTTGGCTAATAGAAGGGAACACCCTCATCAACCGGGGTCCTTGGCTAATAGAAGGGAACACCCTCATCAACCGGGGTCCTTGGCTAATAGAAGGGAACACCCTCATCAACCGGGGTCCTTGGCAAGGGCACCACTGCTGTTCGGCATCATCTGTGGCCCACACACCATGCTAGATGCTTGTGATTTAATACAGATTTTCACAGTCACCATTGGAAGATGCAAGGGTCGAAGAGGCACATCTCAGGCTTCTGTAGTTAGTATAATCTGGACCTGTGTGGCCCGCTGCTTGTCTTATGCCCACAATATTCTACCAATTACCAGTTTGCATATTCTCTGTCTATTATTTTAATTTCAAAAGAGTTTTGGGGGGGTAATTTTCTTTTTTCCCCCTTGGGTTTTCTTTTCTTTTGCTCTCTTTTTTAATTTAAATTAAAAACAATCTTGTTTTACATATCAATCCCAGTTCCCTCTCCCTTCAAAAGAGTTTTATTCACCATATATGAACATATCTCCTTTAATGTATACGATGAAGAAATTGGAAAACTAAATATGTCAGTGTGAGCCTAATGAAAAACACAGAAGCTATTCTGCATAAGATGCAAGTAATGTAGGAAAATTTGGGGTGTAAAATCATATTTTGGATTGCTAAAAATGATGGTAAGTAAATTCACCTTCAGAGACTAGCCATTATTTATAACTCTTCAAAAATGACTCATGTTGGAAAATTCTGGAAGCACAAATTAAATTAACTTAAATATCCATGGTGACTTGCTTCCCATGTCACTAAATTACCTCCCTCCTCAAGCACTGGTGCCAGAGCTCAGAAACCAAGGGGAAGCAAAGCTGTGGCTGTTTTGGTTGTGCAGCTTTTGCAGAGCTCAGAGGCAGCACCCCATCTTCTCTGCCTTGCCTTTTCAAAGTTCATAATTGAGCCCGACTCCCTAAAAACACTCTTGACCGCAAACTCCAGCTTCTAGCCTACTGAATTGGACCGAGGTGACTGATCTCAGCCCAGCCTGCCTCTCAGCTGAGCAGTGCACAAGACAAAAGCCACTCTGAGAATATCATTCACAGGCTTCCACATGGAGGAAGTTCCAGCCATTGTGGGAACTGGAGAGTGACTGGCCAGGCAGAACTTCCTCTCTCCCCTTATCTTTACAGGACCTTCATAGGAAGGAGCAGACAGCCATCACCAGCGATCAATGCAAGTGTCATGGAGTCTCCAAGTGGTGTGCCCAGAGAGGGAGTGCAAACAGGAGACAGTTTGCGACGACAGGCATGAAGGACTGATAATGAATGAATGAATTATGAAGTGGATGTTTCTTAAATCCCCATGAGAATTATGAATGGCAGGGTAGGTGGAATGCTATCCTGATCCTGAGATCTTTTGGAATGCTAGAAGGAACTAAAATGTGGGGTGGTTCCATTAGACATCATGTGGACTGTGTCTGAACATAGTTGTGATAGTCTTTCCTCTGAGGGAAAAATCAGCAAAAGAACACAGGGCACACAAAGAGAGCCTTAGAGTTTTGATTGATGCTGTGTGTGTGTGTGTGTGTGTGTGTGTGTGTGTGTGTGTGTGTGTGTGTGTGTAAGGACTGGAATACTGCTGGAGAGGTTACAATAAAAAATCCTCGGGTTATGGGGAGATGGTGTCAGTCTCAGCAGTGAGTTTAAAGGACATCACTAAGTGATGATAAACTTCCACATCAGCAGCAAGGCCAGAGCCTAGGCTGTGACTCGTGATGTCTACCTGAGCTATGCAGAGCATGCGTGAAACCCATTCCCTGCTGTAGCAAAGGAAGCGTTGGCTAGGGAGGCAATCTTGGGTTCCAGAAATTCGCCAAAAAATTGCTGTTATTTTGACCAGCATCTCCTTCCTTGTTTCCTAATGTGCTGGTGAAGTCTGACTTCACAGTGTGTGCCAAGCTGGTAGGCAGAGCCAGCAAGCAGCCTCTGTAGCACAGCTGTTCTGGCATAGAGGAAGCAATAATGACTGCTGGAGGCTAGAAGCAGCTAGGCAGAGAGGAACCGCCAGGGGAGGTAGAGAGAAGGCTGGATGGAGCTGGGCTGAAGGAGTCATCTGGGGTAGAGATCATTTAAAGCTCATTGGGAGAGGGGGCTAGAGTTTGACCCTTCCCTGATGACCACTGTTGCTTTCTCTGTAAGCCCTGTGCTCTGAGTAGTGACTCTGTCCATGACCGTGGTAGGGTCTTGGTCATTACTTACCTGCCCCAGCTTGATGCTGAGCTCCACAAAGTGGAGCTTGATGTAGACCTTTGCCTTAGGTGCTTCTTTAGGCCTGACCCATGCTGCACGCTTGGCAACCCTCTACCAGAATGATGGACTTTCCCATCGGCCCTAACACTTCATGGAGATTACACAGCAAATGCAACAACTCCAATATTCAAAAAGTATTTTAGGTCCCATGCTCATTTCTTGGGGTCATTCCTGACCTTGACATCCAATGGTATTCTCTTAATTATCAAAACTCCCAAGTCACAAAGACTATCACATACATTGGAAGTATGTATTTACCCCAGATTACGAGATACTTCTCAAATCAAAATACTATCTTTTTATTTTTCTTACTGTACTCAGTACACTGTAAGGCTGTGGAGAATTTCCTCTTGCATCCAAAGCATTTTGTGAACCTCTGGATACATTTCCAGCTCTTCTCTGACCCTTCTCTCCAAATCTGCAAATACTCCTGCTTGCTTGTCTGGGTCCCCGATATTTGATATGCTCTCCACCTCTCCACATTTGCAATGCACTTCTTTCTACATTGGTGTCCTGCTTCTGCAGATGCACAGGGAGTCTCCACTGGGGTCAAGTTTTCCAGGCTGCAGCAGATACACACTTGCACTCCTGTCTTCCAAACTCTGTGCCCAATATGTTCCATTACCATTTCGATAGGAACAGTTAGCATTCTGGATTGTAATAACCTTTGTCTATATCTCCATCTAACTGTGAATTTCCGTATCTTATTCAGAGGCAATAAATGAATCCTATATAGTCTATTGCACTAGCCAGGTGGTCTAGTGTGTGGTGGACCAATAAATATTTATGGAAAGAAAGCATGGCACTGTGATAGATGCCGTGTATAAATGAGCATGGAGGGCAGAGTGCAGATTCTAACACAGGTCCATGAGATTGCACTCTCTGTTCTCATTATGCTCTACAGTCTGCTCACTGCTCAGGAGCTCAGGAGCTCAAGGACAGAGTGTTAGCTAACAAGGTATTGTGAGCACAGCCCCAAGAGACAGCCTCACTTAACTTTTGCAATTCCATAGTGGACGGGAAAGAGGCTGCCAGTCACATGAACCACCTATATTTGCAATTTGAAAACCAAGAAAAAACACAGAACAGGGTCCTGTGTGCAACGGGAATCTTTTTTGTATTGTTAGAAAGATCTTCCTGAGAAAATTTCCACTTAGCCTGCTTTGGAAGTCCCCCAGAATAGCCAGCCTCTGCCCTGAGCAGAGCAAATGTCACCAAGATAGACTCCTCAGGCTGTGCAGGCTGATACTGGGCTTCTATGTGAAGAATTTTATTAGAATGTAGTCTCAGAGAAGCTTCAGTCTGTGCTCCTCTAAAACAGGCTCAACATAACAGGGAACAAAGACTTCGGACCTTGCTTGTATGAGATAGAAGGGAAAATATTAAAATCCTAGTGGGGTTGGTCATTTACCTTGAGTTCCTTATTTTCGGCCCATGGTTGTATAATTTTTAATGGATTTGCAGTTTCCAAATCATACACCAGTGCTTGTAATGCACATGAATGCTTAAGTATTTAAAGATATTGGCAACATAAATATACTCCACTCGTGCATATACATACATCTATACATATGGAGAGGAAGAGAGGAGGGAAGAGGAGAGTTGAGAATAAAGGAGGAGAGAGTGGTGGGAGAGAATTTACAGAGAAATGAAGTAATCATTTGTGCAAGGTGTACCTGGGTCAAGTATGCATTTCATTCATCTGAGCTGAGGTTTCTACACAATAAAGAAGCTGACCTAATTCTAACACAGATTCTGTGGCAGGTATGATTTTGAATTAATATAAGTCTCGGGTCATCCACACTAACAAGTATGCTACCCAATACACAATTCACTGGATTTCCAGTTTTATTTCCATTTCAGCACTTAGTATTCTAATTGGCATGAAATGATGGCTGCTAACACATCCAAATCTTATTGAGCAAATAGAAGCCATTGTTTTAAGCACTTTCCAAATACTGTCTCCAATCTCACATTATTTACATGGTAAGTGAAATGTCACGACTCAAAGTTATAGAGCTATGAAATGCAAGAGCATGGGTGTGAATTCATATGGCCTGAGACAGGAATCTATGTTAATATTCACTAGGCTAAAATACCTCTTGCTATACAGTATTACCAACACATAGCAGTTTAAGTCAATGTCTGGGTCAAACATTTGGGATCCTTCAGAAGAAGCATGCAATGTTGAAGCTGAAGGAGACCCCAGGCATCCTTTGAGGTCAAATCTTTTCAGAGACCTAAATCTTCCTCCATTTCTTAAGCACTGGGGCATTCCACTACCCCTTTCTCTTCTATGATCATTGCCCCAGGTCGTCTCAGCTGGCACCTTCTGTACATTTTACAGATGGATTTGAATGCCCTCAAATCCGTGAGCTGAGATACTACATTGAAATGGCCAAGAGAGCTCTATCTCTATTAGTATAATAGTTACCTTCGGTGTCACACTCATGGTTTCCACCTGTCCCACTCCTCTAATAATATCTGCATCTAAGCAGGTCATAGCGTTTTCCAGGACAAACGCTCAGGCTGAGGGCCTGAGATCTTGCTTGATGGTTTTTCATTGGTGTATCTTGAAAGTCTGGCCCTCATTTTTAACACTAAGCTGGGCTGTTTTAAAGCATCACTGACACCTGCCTAACCTAAGCTGCCACTTCTCTTGCCGGGGTACATTAGTAGCTTCTGAATGCACCTAGCTGTGCTTACCCAATAGCGTCTTTTCTGCTCAGAAAGATCGTGGTAATGTATTAGCCAGCCTGTGTCATCCTGACTTCTTCATATGGAGTTCCTTGTTTCTTGAAGCAACAAACGCAGCAGTTCACGTTGTCTACAAGACCCCACTGGCAGTACCTGTGCTGTTATTCTTCTGAATTGAGTGTCTTCCCCATTCTAACCCTACTTCCAGACTGGCCCTCCTCCCTCCTTCCAGGCACTTACTATGTTCTCAGCTCTGAATGACATTTACCCCAAAAGCATTCTGGTCTGCTCCATCAGCCCACCTGTATTTGCTCAGTTTTCATTTTTTTTTCCTGCAAACCTCTCCTCATCACTGCACCTTGATCTTTCTCTATCCCTGTACCTCTGTGACCACCTGCATCATCTCCTCCTCTTATGTGTAGAGCTGGTGTCGCTTGACATGCTACTAGGGCCTTTATGTGGGTACTCCAGCATTCGCCTCTCCTTTTCCTGACTACAGATGCATTTGGCCAGCTGCCTTAAGTTCCCACTACCTGGGGCAGATTAGAAGCTCCATATGGGCAGGGGATGCTTTTGTTTTCTGTTCAACATTTCCGGCACCTCAACCCAATCATTATACAGGTGCAGTCAGTGCTAAGTATTTCTTGAGGCACTGAATACATTTTTATAATGAGGCTCCTCAGAGAACCTTATGTTCCCATATAAGGTGAAGGCAGAGCTGGTTTAAGACTGTGGGCCATGTTTGAACATTAATGCTTGCTCAACACCTAATGGTTTCTTTTTAGCAATTGTTCCAATGTGTCAATTGATTGCTTTCTCTCAAGACTGTGGTAAAATAGTTGAAGGAAGCAACTGAAGGGAGAGGGTTTACTTTGGCTCACAGGTTGAGGGAATACAATCTATCATAGTTCAGGAGGGCTTGGCTCCTGCTGTAGGGGTAGGGGCCTGCTCCCTCTGGACAATCAGAAAGCACAGAAGAGCTAGGAAGCCAGGATAGGGTGCAGATGTCAATTCCACCGCTTAAAAGTTTCACAAACTCCCAAAACAGTACCAGTATCTGGGGACCACACACTCAAACATAGGAGCCTGTGGAGGACATTTCACATTCAAACTATAACAGATACCTGTCCAGACTGCAAGGGAGGCTGAAGGAACACAATGCTCTGCATATGAGTGGCTTCACTGTTACTGAGTGAAGGGGCCAGTTAAGAGCTAGCAAGACTACTAATTGCCTGGCCTTTGAACCTACTCCCATTTAACCAGCTCATCAAGTAATTATGTTGTATTTAGAAGCTTTCTTTGACCTACATTTTATAATCTCTTTTCCAAGGGAAGAACAATGCATTTAATGTCACCAGGATTGAGGCTCACACAGAGAATCTCTCAGTTCTCTGCATTTCCAGTATTTTCCACATCTGATATTTTTCCCATTGTTCCTTTCCTCACCTTCCAGAGTACTGAGCTCCACCTGTTAGGCGATCTCTGGATCTGGAAATCATCCTCATACTCCCAGATGGAAGCAGTGCAGTCCTCATAAAACTGGTGCAGGTAGGACCGAACTCCATAGCGCTGGTACCCGCCCTCGGTGTCAGCCTGGGCTTGCTTGGACCCACAGGTGTTGCTGCAAGAAGTCATCTTCCCAGCTGGAGAGACAGCATACACAGAGATCAGCTCCATGGGCTAGTTCTTGAACCCCGGGATCAAAAGGCATATTTAAGGCAAGAACCAGGCTCAACCATGCTAGACCAGCCTATTTAAACAGCTCTATTTGCCTAAGGGAAATGACACCTTTAAGGATTCATCTAGTTTTTCATCTGCCCTTCTCTTCTGTTAAGTGCAAAATCACCCCCAGTAATCAATGGCTATAATTTGTTCTTCACAAACAAAGGGGATACAACAGCTTCAGTAACTTAAATTATACAAAATATAAGGACAAGATACATGAGAAATGGTAACAGAGAAGTCCTGACAACAGACCTTTAACGTAAGAAATTTGAGGGCAATCTCACTGGTCATGGTGGAATTTGTCTTGGCTTGTCCTGGATTTTTAACCATGTTTCTTTCCAGATTGTGCACAGTATTCCTCTTAGCTGTTTCCAATTTTGCATTCAGAGCTCACATAACTTCCTCTGATATTTGACTGATTGCTAAGTCATATGGAAGCTTTGCTAGAAAGCTGTGGAGCAACTAACATGCTTTATTAATCATGAGTGACTGGGCCATTAATTTACCCCCTCACACCAGTTCTAGCACTGTGGATTTCTGTGGCTATTTGTGGATATGTTTGTCCATGAATTTCTGTGGTTATTTGTGGATATATCTGCCCATGTGGGTGTGAAAGTGTAATGCACTTTATTTCCTATAAAGCATCTGGTATAAATAAGGCTTAAGAAAATTAAATGAAACTTGCTGTGGGTGAGCTACCTTTGCAAGATGGAAATTTAAGATTTTTTTCCCAATTGTTGCTCTTGGAGATAGAAGTTTATAATTCATGTTATCCATTATATCATACCATATGTTATATCATATAATTCATTAATAATTCATGTTATTTTAAAAATAAACTCTATTTAATGTGTTTGGGTGCTTTGTCTGCATGCATGCCAGTATATCATTTGCATGCCTGGTACCTGCTAAGGCCAGAAGAGGGTCCCCTGGAACTGGAATTACAGGTGGTTATGGGCCACCATGTGGGTGCTGGGAATTGAATGGTTATCTTGAAGAGCAGCCAGTGCTGTTACCCTATAAGCCCAATGTTTTTGTTTATTCTTTTTAGTAAGGAATTATTGAGGGCTCATAGTTTTGGTGGATGAAGGACTTCTCAGTTCCATGTTCTTTGATTTTTCTGATCTCTGTATAGGCAGATACATGTTTTTCTAGAAATGAGAAATACTTGGTATATTTCAGTTTCTTATAGATTAATTTCCTTGTTTGGACATAATCTGTATATGACAACGTGAGACACAAAACTATTTTCTCATTGGGAAAATAAGTTTCCAGGAAAGTCTAGGACTGTGCTATAATCTAGACCAAGAAAGATGTATTAAATGTTCTAATTTCTTCTCAGGGAGTCAGCTAGTAACGTCCATAGGACAAAATGTTCTCTATGTGTAGACAGAAGTTTCTGTGCCACCCACAGCCATTTAGGTTCCTTTGTAATCACCTAGTTTCTTTGGACATAGAAACAGAGTTCTGGTATACATGTGAAGGGGTCTCTAGGCTAGATTGATCGAGGTGGAAAGAATTACCATAAAGGCAGGTAACACTATTCCATGGGCTGAAGACCTGCACTCAACGATGACTGAGCACCATCATTTATCTCTCCTTTCTGAACACAGATGTAATGTGACCAGCTGTCTCAAGTTCCTACTGCCACAATGGGCTATGCCATAGAACTGTGAGCCAAAATAATCCCTTAATTGCATAGGTTGCTTTTGTCAATATCTTGTCCTAGCAACTCACAAGGTAATCAATATAGACAGATGGTGGTGCAAGCTGAGACGAGTCCTATGGGAACCAAGCAAACCCACAAACGCATCCCTGTGGAAGGACTCCGGCCACAAATAGATTTGCTTAGAAAATATAGTTAAACTTGAGAAAATATGCTCTTGATGTCAGAAAAATGGCACAAGCACGTGGCATCCTTGGCCACTAGCCTCATCTTTCTATATTCTGACTATCATTACGTTTAATGCCTGTGTATTTTCTTGGTTAAGCAACAATTACCTCTAAAAAAGTCATTCAGGAGTACGTGTCAGGAGAGGTAAAGGTAAGCAGTTTTTTTTTTAACTTTTAGACATCCAGAGGGGTCGTGGTTCACGACTAGTCGAGGTTTTAGAAAGCATTTTGTCTGAAGGATCAAAAGAAAGGTAGCTATTTTTTGTCTTAAGTACTGTGATGATCTCTTCAGCACCTTCTATTTAATGCTTACACAATGACTTGATTAATAAGAGCTTATTATCTGTGACACATGAGAATAATTTTAGAGTTGCCTTCTTTAAAGATATTCTAATAAAATTTTTAGTCAACTGAAGATGGGGTTAGTATTACTAACTCTGCTTTGTCATTGAGGAAACTGAGGTATAGAAAAATCATCTTGCTAAAGGTTACACTGTGAGTCAGGGAGGAGACAAAAGATGACAGATACTACAATATGCAGGAGCTTGGTCTGAATCATGGCTTGTGTAGTCAGAGCCATCTTACCTAGATGTTTTATATAATCTTCAGGTCTCCTACAGAGCATCAGAGTCTTTAACATGAAGAAAGAACAAAACCGGATACAAGTAGAATGAAATGTCCCTTATAGCAACAAGAAGAGCTTCTTCCTTCAGTTGCTCTTAGGACTCAGCTCTAATGCTGAGCAGGGCCCTGAATCTCATTACATTCATTATCTGCCCAGCTTGCTTCCAGCATCCTAGTGTTTCTTTGTGAGACTCATTAGTTAAACTTGGCTCAAAACAAAATAAAACAAAATGCCAATAAGAGATTTTTAAAAAGCAGAGGGACAAAGTGTCATGAAACAAACATTTTGAGCTTGAGAATGTATTCTACTTCAAAATGGATCATCAGTGATGCTGGACGCATTCCGGAAGAAAAATTTTACTGAACCTTACTTCATTTTCCAAGAGCATAGAGCACGAACAGGAAGAGTATGGCCTGTGTAATGCCAGCCACACAGAACAGAGAATGGACTCAGACACTTGTTTCTGGTTATGAGATCACACTAAGCTTATTAGCATCTCTGAGCTGTGGTTTCATCAGCTTGGGCAAGACTGAGGTTTTGTTTCCTCCAGATGTGTTTCTCTAGGAGTTGTTAGCTACACATCTTCAGAATGAGTCATTTACTTTTTGTTGGGCAAACAACTGAGCATATTGATTCCCCACTTCCTCATGAACTGTCAGTCCCAAATGTCCTTAATTTCAGTGTGCATGACGTTTAGCTTAAGGGGAATGTAAGCCACTACCCAGACTATCTACTTGTGTTAAACAGATTGAACACTTGTAGACTGTCCATTTCACACCCTAATTCAGTATCATATATTGTCTTCAGTAGTATCCCCTGGATGGAGAGAGGTGGCTGAGAAGATCCCCACAGCTTCCTCAAGATACAACTAGTGGTGGCTGATATCCAGAGGAGACTGACCACTTTGGAAATGAGTTTTAATATCTACCCTGGTAGAATACAGGTTTGGGGCCCAAGAACCTCAACAGAGTTATATAACTCAAGAGAAGTTAGCAAGTCATAAGCTAGCTATGTCTAGATGAAGAATGTTATAGTTATTTGGAATCTCCTCTGTTGATTGACACCTGCGGTGTTAGACAAAGGCTACATGACGTATTGTCATAAAGTGATTTTAAAGCTGGACAATTATTAAATTATATGCAACATGCTAGGATGGAGACAGGAACTCAAGGCTGGTCAAAGGCCTTTGAACTTGAGTCAGCACTCCCTTACCGGGGAAGGCTTAGTTAGCTTGTAGTAAGCATCTGGACCAGCAGGCACCAAAACAGTACTGTCAACATTATTTATGGCTATTATAAAGGGACAGACCTTAGAGGCCTCCTTTCTTTTTCTTTTTGTTTTGTTTTGCTTTGCTTTTTTTGAGACAGGGTTTCTCTGTGTAGCATTGGCTACACAGCTCTCTCTATAGACCAGGCTGACCTTCCTCTGCCTCCCAAGTGCTAGAATTAAAGGTGTGTGACACCACTGCCTGGCTGAGGCCTCCTTTCTTTAGAGAAAGCTTTAATATCCAGGAGGTACAAGCATCGAAGCTGATAGGAGAACTTTCTAGAATTATATTTAAATGAGCTACTGTTGGTATATAACTTGTAAATATGCTAGTGGAGCCTCTCCCACACATTACCCCCTTTTTTGGAGGGGGGCTCCAGTTCTCTAGTCAAGGTTAGTATTGAATTAACTCTCTGTGTAGGTGAGACTGGCCTTGAACTTCTGATTCTCTTGCCCCCACCTCAAGTGGAATGATTGGATTACAGGTATGAACAACCATGCCTGGTTTATCCAGGGTGGAGTATCAGATCAGGGCCTTGTACATGGGAGGCAAACATTCTATCAACTGAGTTATACCCCCAGTCTGGAATCACAACAGAATCCAGGCAATACCCCATATGTGTGGGGCTGTTTTCTCACCTATGAAGAGAAATTTGTTTGTGCTTTCCCTGAAGGACCTTGTAGATACTGAAAAATGAGAACTATCCACAGATTTCTTCTTCCTATCATTTGTCTTCAACAAAATATCATTCATGTACAATATTTACAGTAGGTGAGAGTACAAATGCTGAGAACCACCCCATGGGCAGTGCTGTGCATATATGGATCAAAGTACTGTGACACCAATTGTTGGGAATTTTTAATTTAGGGCTAATAAGTACAGTTACTTTCATTTTATTCCAGAAGTGCTCAGAGTCATGGAAGTAGAAATAAGTCTTTATATCTCCTGCAACTCTGAGGACATCACAGACATCACAATGTTTATCTTCATGGTCTCCTCAAGTGAAGGGAGGCAGCAAATGGAGGCTCAAAGTGGATGAGTGTTTTCCCATGGCTCTGTGAGTGAGTCACTGTGGGCCAGGCTCAGGCTCTGTTCTTTATTTACTTTGAAATTTTTCATACTGTTTTCTCTCTCTCTTGATGTAATGAGAGTGACATTCCAATTAGAGTCACTTTCCACAGGTCCAGTGCTACAAGACACACAGTATAGATGCAAGCCATTGAGAACACTTATCCAGAACCAAACCCAAAAGGCTGCTTCCCTTAAAAGACTCTATGAGATTCACAGTGCACACAGGAAGGCATGAAAGCCCACTAAGAGCTTTGCCACTTTGAAATTGAGCATTCTTGAATTACATCAGCATAATCATAAAACTTGAAATGGGATTTTACCAGTGGATCAGCTCAGAGATATTTTATCTTTTGGAATAATCACAGAGATCACAGTTTTATATAATTAGGTCTTTTTATACTCTCCATGTCAGTGCATTGTCAGTCACTTTTATACTTTAGAAAAGAGGAATAGTAGTACATAATTAACTTGCTCACTATCAATTGCCTGAATCCTTCAAGCTATGTATCTATATGGTTATCTGTCTCTACTTATACATCCATCTATTACCTACACATCTGTCTAACATTACCTATCTATCTGTCTGCCTATCTATCTATCTATCTATCTATCTATCTATATTCCATCTATCCATGTATTATTTATTTATCCTTTATCCATTTATCTATCTATCCATATATATCATTTATCTACCCATCTATATCATCTATCTAACATCTATCTATCATCTATCTATCACCATCCACATATATACATATATAAATAAGACATGCAAAATTTAAAACAAAAATAAGCACCCTTATTCTCCTTTTAAACTTCTTCCTTAGCTGCATTCAGGGCACAGGTACTTATGAATGCGTGCATGACAACAGCTGACTCTTACCTTCAATGTTCTTCTTCCTCTACCTGTTTATTCTTTCACTTTTCTTTTAAAATTCCATTCTTCAATTCTAGTTCAGGAAAGAAAACAATAACTCTGCAGATATGACCCAGAGCAAAATCAAAATGTTATAAATCACTCACAAGACTGTTGATCAAGAACTTCTTGTGAAAGAGCAGGAATGGCTTTTCTTTTAAAAACAAAACAAAGCAAAGAAACAACAACAAATTCAAAAGTCTAACTTACACTTTAAAACTTTCTAATGGACTCTCATGATAATTTTTGGAGTGATCGAGTTGACAAACCCAAGGACTTTGTGAGGCCCAGAACATTATTTAGATGCTGTTTTTATTTTGGCATCATTGTTTACCATGAATTTGGTAACACCAAGTTGACTGGTCTGCTATATCCCACATATTCTAAATGAAAGATGACTTATTTCCTAGACATTCAAGAACTGCCCTGCAGAATAAATGAACTTTCCCATCCCTGTGTCTTCTGACAAGCTTATGTTCATCACACCCTCAGCAAATCTCTTTGGACAGTTTACTCATTGTGTTTGGTTTAACTCCACATCCATTCTCTTCCCATCATGATCAGTTTATTCTCCAGCTGCTCAAGAGAAGCAGGTGCCTGTGCAAAATTCAATTAAGAGACCGCTGCCAGCTACTGAGCTATTGGTTTCCAGCATTACTCTAGTCCTGTAAAATTAAAAAATGAAAACAAAAACTAGGGCTATACCATCCAAAAGGCCATTAAAAATTCTCCGTTAAACAGATTCTCCATGCATTTAAAGGAGAAACTGGAGACTAGGGGGGAGGTGGGTAAGCCAAGAAAAGGCCTAACAAGCTGTCTTCAGCATTTCCAGGGTCACTCCATAATGGAGAATAGCTGTACATCTTCAGGATTAGTTTCCTTGCTCCTGAAGTTTGGGTGGTATGTGAGCCAACATTAGGATTCAGGAACTGAATTAACAAAAGAAAGCTAAAAGCAACTACATCACTACCTTCTTCTGTCTACTAGAGTCCCCTCTTTCCCTCTCCTGGTTCCCGTCTCTGTCTCTCCCTCTCAGCAGTGTCCTTTCACCAGCCACCTTTCCTGTGTCTGAAGAAACTGATGGTAGAAGCATCCTCCACCAAAGACGCTGGCCTGTCTGGAGCCCGAGAGCTCTCCAAGGTCCTGAAAACATGTGTGCCACAGAGCCAGGAACCAGTTAAGCCAACACTAGCTGTTCCAACTCCAGCTGGTTTCTGAGGTCACTAGCTTTGGTCTGACCTACACCCACGTGTCCCTATCTAATAACAAAAAGAAGCAGGTCCTGAAATAATATCAAACCGTCTCTAGACATGGCCAAGGAGTGGGGAGGGCCGCTGGTGGTGATGCCGATAGAGGAGGGATCAGGCCAGCCTGGAAAAGAAATCTGAGAAGCCTTGCAAACTCTAAATACATCTATTTTATCCTCACCGAAAAATACAACTTTCTTGTCTTACAGGAAGGAACTCTTTTAAGTTTTTAGCTGTACAACCCCCAAATTCTTACATAACATAGACCACAAACCCCATAGCACGAAGTTGGTTCTATCAAATTGCTACGTTTTTGTGTGTTTTAATATGCATGATTTTTGTGAATAGGGAAGGAGGAAGAGGAGAAGAGTGGCTTAGAGGGAGAGACTGATTGATAGAGGTTTGAGTGTGAGGAGGGCGGGAGGAAAGAGATAGGAAGGAGGGCGAGGTGAAGAGATAGCCATAGGACAGCCCTCAGCCCTCCCGCGCCCGGCTTTACCTGTTCCTCCAATCCCGGACCCGTGGAGCAAGTGCAGCCGACCTAGCCGCAGATCTCTCACCGGGGTCCCATCGCCTCCACCGCCGCCGCCACCGCCGCCACTCCCGCCTCTCCAAGCTCAGAGGCGCGTGATTGACAGGCGGCGGCACACGTGCCCGCGCAGCCCAGACGCGCGCATCCGCTAGTAGGGTCCGGGTCCGCGCAGCGCGGGCGGGCTGCGGGCCGGTGGGAAGGGCCGACCTTGGAGCACCGCCCCTTCCTGCCAGCCATGGCTCCTTGTCCCCACCCTGGCTGGGCGGGGCGCCAGCCCTGTTTTCTATTTCTCTCACTTCTTTTCTGTCTCCAGCTGTATTCTGTCTCAAAAGACTTTTTCCTTCCAAGGACTAGGAGTTGAACCTTGGGCCATGAGCTTGTGCTCAACTATTGAACTATATCTCCGCCCTCTTTCTATTTTGGTTTGAAACACTGTCTCAAAAGTTGTACAAGTTGGCCTTGAACCTATCCAAGCCCAGGTGGGGCTTGAACTTATGACCTTATTACTTCAACTTCTCAATTACTTGGGGTGGCAAGCTGCACCAAGTCTGTTTTTCTTTTTCTTTCATTTTTTAAAAAATTTGATTTAAAAAAAGTAAACAGAGCAAGCTGTGGTGGCCAGCTCCTTTAATCCCACCCAGCACTTGAGAGGCAGAGGCGGAGGCAGGCAGATCTCTGTGAGTTTGAGGCTAATCGGGTCTACATAGTGAGTTCCGGGACAGTCAGGGATATGTAAAGAGACCCTGTCTCTAACAACAACAAAAACAATAAATACTAATAAACAAAGTGAACGGAGAGACAGAGAGGCAGGCAAGTTCAATGTCTGTTTCCCCCTGTCCCCCTCATTGGAGGTCTATTGTCAGAACAACTCAGGCAGGAAGTGAGTAGCTGGACTGGGCCGGCCAGAGTGCTGCCTGAGTGCATCCTGCCAGGTAACAGGGCTGGCCAGTGTAATGCCTGAACCTTTCAGTGAGTAGCTGGACTGGGCTGGCAGAGCACAGCGGTGTCCAACAGCCAGACTCTTCCTTCTTCCCTTGGCTACAGCCAGGTATTTCAACTCCTCACATTTCCTTTGACTCTGACTTCAGGAAATCTAAAAACATGATAGGAAGACATATTAGAATAACGAATTAAATGAAAATATTCAAGAGATGAAAACGAATGCTTGAAGGCCAGAACACCAGAGAAATGACCTGTGAGTGCCTTGGAAAATGTGTGTGTGTACACAGTAGTATATAAAGACGGTAACAGCTGCTTCAGAGACTTACCACTGGCAAGTGATACTTATTGAGAAAGATGATGTAATATTAGTAATCGTATGCATAGGATATGAATAATGATAAAACGATACCACATTTACCCAGTACCTTATTTGTTAGGCATTGATTTACCCACACTATGTGTGTATTCATCTCATATATGAGACATCTTTACTGTCTACAGCAGTCTTTTATGGTGGGTACTCTCTATAACCCCATTCCAACAGGTGAGGAGACTGAGGTAAAAGAAATGTGTTCACATGATGATACAGACTCATAATTGCTTTCCACAAGTCACATAACCACTGTTGCAACTGAACTGAAATGCCTCTCTAGAGTCCTGTATTAGAGTACTTGGTCCCTAGATGGAGCAGTGTTGTGTGTGTGGGGGGGTGTTGTGTCCATGGAGGAAGTTGGTTAAGGTTTGAGGTTTATTTGTTAGTTTTGAGACAGGGTCTTAATGTGTAGCCCTGGCCATCCTGGAACTCAGTATGCAGACCAGGCTGACTTTGAATTCATAGAGATCCATCTGCCTCTGCTGGATTAAAAGCATGTACCACCACATCCAGCTTGAGGGTTTCATTTTATTTTAATACTTTTTTTATTTGGAAGTTCCAAACATTTATAGAATATATATATATGCATATATATGTCTATCTACCATCGTTTTCTCCAGCTCTTCATAGTAACCCCCATTTTGCATCTTCTTTTTTTGTTAATGTTGCTATTAATAACTCAAGTCCAGTTAGTGCTGCCCACATGCACATGTGTGTGTGTGACCATCCACTAGGTCACATGCAATCTACCAGTGGTCATATTCCAAAGGAGAGTGACTCTTCTTCCCTCAGCAGCTAACTGACTGCCAATAGCTCCCCTGATAGCAACAGAGCCTTGAGGCCTTTTGCTTATCCATGCTTGAATTTTACCTGGCTTGGTCTTATGCAGGTAACCTCAGCTGCCATGGGGAGATGCCTGCAGTAGCCGTGCCATGTACAGAAGCCAGCATTTCCAAGTTCTTTCCACCTAGTGGTCTTCTTCCATGCTGCATCCTTTTCCATGAAGATTCCAGAGCCTGAGATGGTAGGAGATAGATATGGATGACCCATCATCCACAGCTGAACACTCAAAATTATTTAGACCCAGCACTCTGACCAGTTATGAGACTTTGCATTAACTACAACCCAATGCAAAAAGAAGTTTGCCTGACCAGAGTTGAGAGCATCACACATAGCCCCCCTGGGCCTGTGATGTCTGCCACCTGAGCTCAGGTCTTGAGGTTTTATAATCCAGATTCACTTCCTGTCTGCTCTGCCTCTTATTGTCAAGATGTGGGGAAGTGACCCAGGTGCACACCCTGCCACGTGGAGCTGCCTGACCCAGGCCTTCCCAGCTGTGGTAGACGGAGTCTCTTGAACTGTGAGCCAAAACAACCCCTTTGCTGAAGTTGCTTTTGATACGGTGACTGGTCACAGTAGAAGAAAATTAATTAAGCTACCACAAGGAGGCAGGGGATGGACTTCACTTTGCAAGGAAATTTCCTGCCTGAAGAGGATCAAGATTATAGGTGTTACTTTGCTTACTTCCTCAGCTCCATGGAGGTTTCAGGAAAAAGCCCAAGCAGCAACTCTCTTGTTTAAATAGAGTGGAGGGGACGGAGCAGGCAGCATATTACTGTCATTGTTCCCTTTGTTCACACCTGTATCTCCAGCACCATTTACATCTGATTTCCTTTCTCCCGTCCTGGTCAGCGTAAGTTTACCTTTCAGGACTTTAGAGCTGTTGCACACTAGTTTCCTTTCCTGGGCAGATCTGATGAGCACTTGTTCTCAGAGGAGAGCAAGGCTATGCATGTTTTCACATCCTCGAAGGTCCCTAAGAATCAACACATCTGCAAAACTCCGTGTCTTAGTTAGGGTTTTTATTGCTGAGAAGAGACACGATGATCACAGCAACTCTTACAAGGAAAAAATTTAATTGGGGTGGCTCACTTACAGTTTCAGAGGTTTAGTTCATTATCATCATGGTGGGGAGCATGGTGGTGTGCAGACAGATGTAGTACTGGCTACATCTTGATTAGAAGGCAACAGGAAGTAGGCTGAGACATTGGGTTGTATCCTGAGCATAGGGAACTTCAAAGCCCACCTCCACAGTGACACTTCCTCTGGTAAGGCTATACCCACTCCAACAAAGCTACACCTCCTAATAGTGCCACTCCCTATGAAATTTTGGGGGCCAATTGCATTAAAACTACCACACTCCAACTCTGATGTGCTCTTCTTCTGGGCTTCTAGAATGATAGAGCTGACTTACCGCTTGTCTTCCAGGTTGGTGCTTGGTAATTGCCCTGGTTTCCTTTGGAAAGCATCTATTGGTTTAGAAAGGTAAGCTCATCATGACCCAAAACAGAATAGACCTGAATTTAAATTCTTAGTCTACTGCTTCCTATCTGCTCTTCACACCATTATTCTCAGCTATAGAATGCTTATAGAAATACCTATTCCATAGGGTATTAAGTACTAAATGAGATTGTGTCCATAAGGCATTGATCACCATGTAAGCAATCAGCAATCAATAAATAATAGCTATCATTACATTATTAATGTTATTTAACTGTTATTTAGATAATCATTTTGGGAGCCTGTGACTGTGAGCTTGGAGTCCTGAGCCTTCTAACCTCCAAGCCTCTTCATTTTTTTTCTATCATCTTTTGCAAGCTCCATTTCTAATGTGCACAGTCTATCACACATCTATCCCAGAGCCTGGAGGTAAAACATCTCCTATTAGCACAGCCACCATGGAAGGTGCTTTTGAAACTGGAAGTTAGCTGAATACTGAGATGAAGCAGCACATGGCAGACATCATGATGCCCTTGGTGTGTAAGGTTATTTTGTATCAGTGTAGATTCTACTTAGTCACTTTTCAAACCTCAGGGAATGAAGTTGATTACTTTGGAGCACCTAAGTTTTGATTTAGAGCATAACTCAGCAGTTTCCCTGGGTTACATTTTTGTTTTGATTTTACAGAAGTGCTTATTAATTCATTATTCAGCATGCGTTTGTTGAGTATCTGCCATTTAGAGCTTAAAAGGGCAAGTAACAAACAGAGGCATTATGAAAAGTCAGAGAGACGAGGGGTTAGGAGAGGTTGTAGTTTCCTGGGCTGTTCTCCAGAAGGGAGGCTTGGACTGTAGCCTCAGGCTGCCTTTCTAACCTCCCATCTCATGACTCCTTCTATGCCCATTTCTCAGCACAGTGGACATTTGGTGTTGTTTCTCATCTGACACTATCTTAATTCACTGCTCTTGTATTCACCACTTCTTGCTTTGCTCCCCTGATAGCTGCTTAGTCTTCATGTAGTACTACAACTGCCACCTGTGCAACCAACCAAGTCTTCCTTAACTCACTGATTGATCACCCCTCGCTCCTCACACACAGCACCTTGTATTTGAGAATGACTTTTCTATCCGTGTGCTCTCCCATATTAGGACTTTCAGCATTGTAAAGAAAGGATTTTGCCCCCCCCAGCTGACCTTTTATTCTTACAAATAGAATAGCATATTGCTTTAGTATAGATCATGTATTCTGAGTAATGCATACATTAGTAAATGAATGACAAGGGTCTGGAGTTAGGTTTGATAGCCAGATGGAATGAGAACCTTGCCAACCTCGGGAACGAAACACACAAGGTTTAGTGTGTGCCCTCAGGGCTGAATCTTGTTCCTGGGATCCAGAGTCTGTAGGAGAAAGAGGGGCAGTGTCCTGGAAGTGCCCTGTTTTGATCCTCACCCAGCTGATGTGAGGCAGAGTCACCAGTCACTGGGCCCTTTGGTGGTGACCTTCACTGCTGCTGTGGCCTGGTCAGACTCAGCTCACCCAGCTG